GTAGAAGGCCACCAAATTTGTCAGGCACAATTTGCCCATAGTGAAGCAATGTCACCAATCACCTCCTTATTCTCCATGTGCTCTACCGTAATTTCCAGGAGGATATGTTCCATGATCTTGCCAGGCATAGAGGTGAGACTGACTGGCCTGTAGTTCCCCAGGTCTTCCTTTTTTCCCTTTTTAAAAATGGGGGTTATGTTTCCCCTTTTCCAGTCAGTGTGAACTTCCCTGGCCTGCCACAACTTCTCAGATACGATGTATGGTGGCTTAGCCACTTCACCCACCACTTCCCTCAAGACCCATGGATGGATGCATCTCATCAGGTCCCATGGACTTCTGCACCTTCAGGTTCCTTAGATGGTCTCGAACCTGATCTTCTTCTACAGTAGGCAGTTCTTCATTCTCCCAGTTCCTGCCTTTGCCTTCTGCGACTTGGGTGGTGTTGCTGGAGCACTTGCCGGTGAAGACTTGAGGCAAAAAAGTCATTGAGTACCTCAGCCTTCTCCATAGCCCAGATAAACAAGTCTCCTGTTTCCTTCCAGAGAGGGCGCACATTTTCCCTAGTCTTCCTTTTACCACTGATGTACCTATGGAAGCTTTTCTTGCTGCCCTTGACATCCCTGGCCAGATTTAATTCTATCAGAGCTTTAGCTTTCCTAACCTGATCCCTGGCTGCTCAGACAGTTTGCCTGTATTCCTCCCAAGCTACCTGTCCTTGCTTCCAACCTCTGTAGGCTTCTGTTTTGTGTTTGAGTTTGCCCAGAAACTCCTTGTTCCTCTATGCAGGCCTCCTGGTGTTTTTGCCTGACTTCCTCTTTGTTGGGATGTATTGCTCCTGAGCTTGGAGGGGGTGATCCTTGAATATTAACCAGCTTTCTTGGGCCCTTCTTCCCTCCAGGGCTTTTTCCCATGGTACTCTAGCAAGCACATCCCTGAAGAGGCCAAAGTCTGCTCTCCTGAAGCGCAGGGTAGTGAGCTTGCTGCACACCCTCCTCACTGCCCTAAGGATCTTGAACTCCACCATTTCATGGTCACTGCAACCAAGGCTGCCCTTGAGCTTCACATTCCCCACCAGCCCCTCTTTGTTGGTGAGAACAAGGTCCAGCAATAGCACCTCTCCTCGATGGCTCCTCTATCACTTGGAGAAGGAAGTTATCATCAACACATTCCAGGAACCTCCTGGATTGCTTATGCCCTGCTGCATTGTCCCTCCAACAGATACCAGTGTGGCTGAAGTCCCCCATGAGGACCATGGCTTTTTGTAATGCTGGTGCATCAAAATTCATTCTGCATTATGCTTATTTTGTGGCAACATTGTTTGTCATTATCATGATTTGTCCACATTACAGTAGAAATATAATTAAGACACAGGCATCAGATTACCACTGGTACACTCACATCAGAAATGCTTTATCCTGGAGGGCTCATAAGCTAAATAGACAAGCTGGGAGAGAGGAATTTCTCCATCTTATAGATTGGGAAACTGAGGCAGAGATCCCCATCCCACTGCAGTACCCACTGAGAACAGCTGCCAGCCTAAAGACAGAAGCCTGAGGAGGGAGGAAAGGTGATCTTCCTGGAAGCAAGAAAGTCCTAAAAATCCAATGCAAATAACAACATTCCCTGTATAGCAAACTCGTTTCAATGCACACCAGGTAGCTGTTCGTTAGCTCTGCTGGAACTGTGGGCACCCATGCAGGTAAGTGATTGCACACCGGTGCCCTTACACATATATAAAGGGTGGGAAAGCCAGCAGGAGCATCCAGGCATGAACAGGAGCAAGAAGAGATCTGACCTCCAGCATCCTGTGGCTGCGCTTGTCAGGTAGGTGCTTCGTCTCTGCTCCCATTTGCAAGCTCAGTGGGGTGGGCACTTCATGGGTGCTCAGCTAGGTGCTGGTGTTACCAGCATGTGTTGGGTTCAGCAGAGAGAGCTCTGACAAAAGAAGAAACAAAATCGATGCTTAAACAAGGGGAAAGGTGCTTTCTGCTTATCCTCCTTCATAGAGCATCGATTCCCCCAGTTCCTGCCTCCCTGCTTGTCGTGAGCACCCAGCAGACACCGAAGCATGCTGCAGAGGTGCAGGGAGCCCTGGGTGCCCTCTGCACTCAAGGAGCTGCTTTGAACAGACAGAAAATGAGTCACAGAGAGTTCCTATTGACAGTAATGATTTGATTTTTTTGGGAGACAGCTCAGTAGATAAACGTACTGTCTTGTCACTGTGCACACACCAGCACCATGTGGATGCTCACTCCTCCTGCCCCCAAACTGGCATTTCACCCCATTTTACGCAGGCATAAGCAGAGCTGGGCAATGCTGCGCCTGGCCCCATGCAACTGCAGTACTTTGTTGTGCTGATGCTGATCTTGGGATCCCCCTGCTTTGTGGTCTCTCTTTGTAGCTGGGAAGCAAATTCACTAACAACAAAGTACATATCTGCCTGGAGAGGCATTGAGCTAGAGATGTCAGGTCTGAAAGACATGTCCTGCTTACAAAATAAGGAAGGGACATTCAGAAATGACATTTTTTGACTGGAGTAATGGGGGGGGGGGCATTCTCCGGGGGAAGGAGGAGTGGATCAGTTCACAGAGGGGTAGTCAATAAGAGATGAAAGAGGTGACTGGGTTTATTTCTTCGTATAAGGCAGTATTTTATTGCGGTAATAGAACAAATGAAGAGGCACAAAAGATTGATGCTACTGAGATAACACCATGTTATCAGCACATATGCATATCAACATGTTGTATTACAAGGGGAGAGCCTGAGAAATCCTCTTTTGATCACTACAGCAAACAGTACATCTGCTTGGGTCACTCAGGGCGATGTCCCAGTGCAGTTGACAGCTTTGATGACCCAGCGTGGGTGGGCAGGGGGGAGATGGCACCTGAGCTGCCCTAAGCAGTGCCAAGGGAGAGGAAAGGAGCTACAGCCTCCTTTGCTCACCATCACGCTGCTGGCCTGGCACACAGCAGAGGGATGTGATTGGCAAGTGCTACGGAAAGGGAATATTTATTAACTTCCACTGGCCTTCGGTTCAATACTAGCTGATATTTATGGGAAATCTAATTTAAGGGTCAAATTTGACCTAACAATGTCTTTTCAATAACATCCAAACCAAGAGGTTTCTGAAACTAATTAAGGATCAGGCTCCAATCAGGTAGAGTAGTTAAGAGTAAGTGGGACCAGACTTCATTAAATTCATCCAGAGAGAATATTTTAATATTTAAAGAGAACATTTAATGTTTACGAAAGTCCTCTTCTGACGTGAAGTCACTGTTAAATCACTTCAGAAGGTAGTTTTTAAAGCCCTTTATACTAGGCTTTTATGGAGCCGGGCTGGCAAATGCCCTTCCCAGCTCTCTTGGACCCAGTGAGGCTTATTAAAAGATTCAGTCCATCAAGGAAGGTTTTCAGGGGTGAGGAATATGAAAACAAAATTTATCAAAACAGCTGTCTTAAGGTTTTTCTCTCTCACAGCATCACTCTGTCTCCCTTGCTGTCAGTGGGATTGATGGGAGCGTTTTGCTCTGGATGTGTGCGGGTCTTAAACCAGGACAGCTAGAGGGCTAAAGCTTGCAGAACAGAAGTTTTTAACAGTACTGAAGGGCTGGGCTTGAAGTCTCTGGAGATGTTGCTCAAGAGAGGAGAGGAGAATTACAGAAAAAGGTTTGAGAGGAGAATGGTCAGTCAAGACACTTCTTTTCTCAGCTCAGGAGCAACTGAAAGAGTAAATATACCTCTAGTTAGCTGGTGGATAAATTTGATTGCAGCTGATCAAAAGCCAGAAGAGTTTCTTGTCAAATGGCCCTCTCTACTATCACACTGGTATCTTCTTTCCTGTGTCATTCAGACTCTTACGATGGTTTCAAAGAAGGTGGTGGCCAGTTTGCTCTTGGTGTATGTGGTGTCCATGTTGGCTGAACAGACCGAAGGCTTCGTGCCCTTTTTCACAAAGAGTGACTTCCAGAAAATGCAGGTAACCCCTAAGACCGGGGCTGGAGCCCTGAATAAACCAGGAAAGGTGTTTCTTCCTCCCTCATCCCCCAAGCTCTGTGAGTGCACACTGTGCCACTGTCATTCCCATCATCTGCCCCTTCTGTTCAAACAGGAGATACTATGATACTGGCAGTCCTTCACTTGTCCCAAAGTTAAGGGCTATGGGAGAGGGCAGAGACAACTTTCAAGATGTGAGACTAGAAAGGAAGAGCCTGAACTCCTTTACAGAAGAACTAAAAGACCTGTGTGGGTTATCATCTGCAGCTAGTGGGTCTTGTTTTTCTTTCCTCCATGCTAGTGGCTGTAATTTTTATACAGAAGCTGCAGCCTCCCATCACCATACTGATGGGTTTTTTTGTTGTAACAAATAATTAACCATCCTCCAGATGGTTGTCACCTCTGGGATGTGCAGAGAGGAGAATGTTTTTTCTTTTGATGTGAAACTAATACTGTTGAAAGGTGTCAGGCAGGCAGCCTCAGAGACTGCATCTTCCTAAACACAGCCAAAGTGAGCTTCCCCCACATGACACAACCCATTGATACTGGGGAGAAATCTTCTTTCCAACACCTATCTGCTCACTGGATAGCAATTGCTTTTTGTGGGGAGTACAGTCATCCTTCAGCCTCCTTAAGGAAGACGATGGGGACCCACGCGCGGTCTCCAGATTGATTGTTCATACATCACAACCCTTGTAGCTATGTATCTGCTAGTGATTGAGGGTCTCCTAGATGTACGTGGGTGAAATCAGTCTTCGAAAGGCTGCCTTTCCTCCTCTGAGCACACATTCAAACCAAAGGAAGTGCACAGCAAGCAGGCAGTTTGACACTGACCACAGCCTTCACTGCATTTTACATGTCCTGTCGTGTTTGTCATCTCCCAAAGCAACTTTGGCTTTTCTCTTTGGCCTGGGAAGAAAGGAAGGGTCCTGAAGCCAAGTTTAGCCCCATAAATGGGAAAGCACTGACATTAGAGACCTGCAAGAAAGGCTGGTAAAACATGTAATGTCTGTACAGAGCTCTCCATTCGCACTGAGGCTGTGCAGGCTTTTATTAAACTTCATTGCCACTACTACAGGACAGCACCAGGACCAGGCGTCTGGAACAGCTCTGTAAGGTCAGCATACTTGGCTATCACATCCTGCTGACAGTGTTATCTTGCACAGATCAAAGTAGTCGCCTAGGAGTGTCATGCTTGCTACAGATCTTTACATGCAATCCTGCAACCCGACCTTACACACAACATTGCAGCCTCTGCTGCATGTCAGAATTACAGTCCCCAATGCCATGCTGGCCACAGCTGATGGGTCCCTTTCCAGTGAGCTGTGGCCCTGGGTAAGGATGCCACATTGGTTCCAGGCAGCGGTTAGACCGCCAGTCCCTCTGGTTTTGTGCCCAGCTCCACCAGCTCTTGGCTGCTGGGCATCACACTGTTGATATGGTGCAGAGCAGGTTTGGTACCCACATGATGCTGCTCCCAGCACCACTGCCCCATTTCCTCTCTACTGTAAAGTTGCAGGAGAAGGAGAGGAACGAAGGAGGGCAGAAGAAATCCCTGACCTCACTGCAGCAGCTCTAAGAGGAAGGCTTCTCTGAGCAATCCGGTACGGATGTCAACAAGGTCAAGACCATCCAGGTACGTTGAACCATACAACTAAGGAGCCCACGAGGACACACAGGGGGACAAGTAGCCCAAGAGACAGCCCACAGCACACTGAGGAGTGTTTGGTGGTGCTGCTTGAGAAGACAGCGGCTGTTATCAGGGAGCTCACAGTCAATATAAAGGAACACTACCTGTTTCCTGCCAGCCCAGCCAGGCAGCTGAGCAAGGTTGCATGAGAGAAGGGTTTTAAATCCACCCTACAAATTATCTTGGACATTCAACAGCCTGGTCACCCCTCAGACCCACCTGGCTTCTCCCTTAGGAAGATGGAAACAACATGAGGTCTGTCTTTGCCATTTGGTGAACACCAGCCAACTGCAAAGCAGGAATTTGCAGCTCTGCTTCAGCTCTGGGTTTAACTTGTCACTTTTTCACCCAGCTCCAGATTAGCTGCCCGGTGTCACCTCTGATCTCACAGTCTTCTGCACTGGCAAGACCTTATTTATAAACTTGGGCCCATACAGCCACACCTCCCCAAAGTCTGTATACAGAGCAGAAAATTGCCAATTTTAGGGATTTGAGTGCCACTCTAAGCCCTCAAAGGCATGCTTACCTCATTAGCCAAGTCTGAAAATTGTGCTTTTCCACCTGAATACAAGGAATTCTTTGCCCTGTCCGTGCAGCCGTTCCTGCGGTGAGCTCGGCCATTCTCTCTGCCAGCAAAAGGAGTGTGTAGGTCCACCCCAAACTGCGGGAGAGGCTGAGCAGGACAGGCAGCGGGACTAGCTAGACTGGAATTTGCCAAGACGCAGGTTAATGTGCAAGTGCTCTCGCAAACGTGGTGCACCAATGATCAATGATAGGATTTAAACAGCAAGGATTCACAGTTCAAAGCATTAAATAACTGGCACATCCCAGTGTCTAACACCCCTCCCCGCTGCAACCACAACCCCTCCCCGCTGCAACCACAAGCACTCCTGTGCCTCCAGCCATGACCAGAACAACTCTATTTACTTCGAGTGCATCTGAGCCACAGCTGGCTCAGTCAGTCAGTCTGGAGGCAGGACGATGTCTCATCCTCAGTCTTTACTATAAGGCAGGGTGCTTCACCAGCATCGGTAAAGCTGACGGCTTGAAGGGTAAAGGCGTGAGGTAGTGGAGGGTTATAAGGTTCAACAATTTTCTTCTTTACAGTCTCTGTTGCCAGGAGGTACCTTTAGCTGTGTTTCTGAGTCAGCCCATAGATGATCCAATGCATGAAAACTTTGGCATTCTTCAACAGCACAAGATTGCAATGACTTCAAAATGTTGCTTTTACCCATATAAAGATCATCCTCTTCCCTTCAAATCAGCCCTAGGCCCTGTACTGACTTGAGCAAAGTGGGGTCAAAGCACCCCAACCTGCCTCCCTCTGCTCTCCTCATCTTCTCCTTCTGACTTTTCTGGCTTCCTCCACAGCTAGCTGTTCCTGTCAGAGCTGGGATGTGGCTCACCCCAAGGCATCTGGAAAAATACCAAGATGTCCTGGAGAAACTGCTAGCAGAGACGTTACAGGACACCCCAGACGGTACGGTCAGGAGGTTGATTTCTGCCTTGGGAATTCTGCCTTTCCCTCCTCTCACCAGCTCATCGTCACGGAGATATTTATATTCCTCAGAAGGGCTTTTGTGTCATGTTTGCTCACTTTACAGAGTCCTCAGATACCCCACCAGCTCTCATGTACACACTTTTCTGCTGGGAAGGTTATTCACTCTCCTAGGGTGTTGTCTGTGCCCTAGAGCTGATATTGACTGTTAGCAGCATTGCAACACTTCCCAGCAGCTCTCCTTGGCGCTGCTTCCCACTTCCCTACTCCTCCTCCCAAAAAGTCCTCAGCCTTCAGGGTGCAATTTCCAACAGAGCTTATAACGCAAGCTACACCTGCGAGGCAGCTCAACACCTGCAGTCAGACATGAACACCTTGCTCCCTGCACAGGGGCTTAACACTAACACTTAATTACAGATAGAATTAGCTGCAATTCAAGGTGTTGAGTGCTAACAAATCCAGCCCTGGGCTTTGCTCTTAGTGTATGGGAATTGCAAAAGAAAATATCCAGAGGCAGTATGTTATGGAGCTATTCCTGCTTGCAGACTTGAGGGATGGTAGAATGGGTATCACTAGAGTTATCTCTGGACCTTTGTCTTATCTGGGCTTAAACGTTCCAAACAAGAAGGTCCCCTCTATCCCTGTGGGAGTTGTTATTCTGTCTTGGCTGCGCTGACTTCAGTTTGCCTTCTAGCTTTTTAGTTGGGGAGCTGAGGAGGAGGAAACAATATATAAAGCCTAGGAAAGACTGAATGACAAATTTAAGGACACTTATTCTTTCCTCTCTTTTCTTTTCAGCTGACTGATATCTGCAGAATCAGAAAAGAAAGCGATGTAGCTTGCTAAAGCTAAAAGACTCCACTTATGTAAATGAAATCTGTAAAAGAGATTAACAACAAAATCTGAGGTGAGATAATAAAATGCGCAGTGTAATTAAATGGAGGATTTGTGTCTTCTTTTCTGCATGCCTCTCAGACAGATGGCAAGCCGCAAGTGTGGGAAAGAAGAGAGGGAGGGTTTCCAGTTCTAGAGAACATCACCGTCCTTCTGGGAAGTGCAAAGCACATTGCAAAGCCTGAGTAATTAATCTTTGTGGACTAATAAGTTTTAGCCCTCCCTTTTGGCAATGTGGGAAACTGAGGAAAATATTTACCGGACCTCCTAGCCAAACTGGTTGACACAAGTGTAGGATGAGGAGTGTTGGGTGGGGGACCTGGGTGTCCCTAACCAGGCTCCACACTCTGGACGCGGGAGGGCACTCTCTCCCACACTGCTAGGAGAAAGCAGGAGCCCTGATTTGCAGTTCCTACCTGTGCTCTTAACCCTCTCTTACTCACCCAGGCGATATATATCTGAATATCATTGTGAGGAGCACCTCTCCCATAGCTATGGTGCGAACCAGCACAGCGTGTGTGAAGCAATGCAGAGCTCTGGCCTTATTTCTGCATCTCAAACAAACCTAGAGGTGAAATCATAATTCCACTTGAACATACTGCTCTCCATTTACATACCTTCCGCTTATTTTAGAGCTGCTCCTCTGTATTGGCAGCAGGAAATCCAACATATGTAAAGTAAGGACAGATGAGATCAATGGTATGTGTGTGAATATATCCAATTTCAATCCAATTTTATCCTCCCAACCTAAGACAAATTCTGTTCTCACTGTGGCTCATTTAAATAGCTGTGTTTGTGCTAGAACAACACTCCTCAGTATGCTCTCTGCTGCAAGCCATCCCTTAGCAGAAAAGAAATCTCCCAATGTATAATGCAACATCCAGCACGGAGTGGATTCCAGCTTTAACATTTGATTCAAAGGCACACTCCTAGTCCATGGACTGATCAGCTCAGTGTAACTTAAAGGTTGCAGGGATTATTGCTGAGGCAGTTTGAGCTATAAAATCACTATAAATGAGTCTGAGCAGTTGGAAGATAGAGAATAATACATTCCATTAGGCTGAAAGTGAAAGCAACTGCATGTGTTGCTGGGCTAGGAGCTCGGCCAGTGCAAATCAGTCTGCAGTGGAGTGATATCCATGGGAGAACCAGCATGGCAATCACTGGGGGAGCTGCACCGCATTTACACCGGTGTTCAGCGAGATCAGAGACAAGGCTGTTTGCTTCAAAGGGAGCACTGTTGACTCATTCCTTCTAAAAGACCCAAACCTTTACCCCAGGTTTAAATTTGCACTGCCATGGGAAAACAAGGAGAGTTTCCCCTTGAGGGGCAGACTGCTCCTAAAAACCTACATAAGCTCCACTGCAGGTCAGAGCTGCCTCTATAGCATCCCTTCTTGCCCAGCTCTTTCACTCAAGTGGTTTTTCCACCCTGTGCCATCTAGGAAGGAATGTTGCCCAATGATGGCGAGAAAGAAAGTGAACATGAGCCTCTTGGATTTGCTTCCTGGACCATTTCCCACCATGGTGATGGTGGGGCTGATGCTGCAGAGACTTCCATAAGGAGATCCACCAATGTGACTTTGCTAGGGTATCTCCCTTTGCTCTTACATTTTGGCCCAGACTAGCTGCAGCGGCAAAGGTCTGCTTTTACCCCCATCCTTGGTTGTGCCAATGGCTCTTCCCAGTTGACCCAGCTATAAATGAGTTCAGGGACGTATGGCTGGTTCTGACAGTAACCATATGAACACTGTGTCCTGTCCTGCAGCAATAACTGAGCTGTCCAAACAGGCACCAAAGTGCAAGGGGGCCTTCAGCTTTTGGAACTAAATTCCTTCCAGCCACAGGGGCTTGGATAGTGGGAAAGAAGCAGATATTCTTCTGCTGGAAGGAGAAGATGGATGGACTCCAACCATCCTCCCAGGCATGACTCCCACTGTCAGGGCTATATCTGTTGTTAAGAAGCAAAATGGTCTCCAAGTTGCAGGACAGATCTGTATCCACAGTGCCCTGGAAGGCTGCTTTAGCAGCCAGCAGCACCTGAGTCCATGCCTGCAAGCAGGTAGGAAGATCTTGCAGCTCCAGAAACCAAACAAGAGTTTTGTGGCAGGATAAGCAGGCAAACAGTTGGGGGAAAGAGGCAGGGGAAGGAGGAGAGAAAAGAATGAAATCAGCACTGACTTTCTAACCTAATAAGAAGCATGGCAGGCTGAGGACATGACATATGATCGGGAGGATGAGAAGCGGTGTTCTTGGGTCACACCTGTGCTGTGGCTGTGAGTGACAGGGTGTTAAATTGGCACAGTCGGCTCCCAAGTAAGATTTGACACTTCCCCTGGTGACATATGCAGGACTGTCGTCTAAATGCCACGGGATAAGAAGAGGGGGGTGGGATGTCGGGTTTTTTTCAGCAGCCCCTCAATTAGGGGTAGAAGGGTTCATCTGCTGCCCGTGCTTTTCGGGGTGCAGCACGCTCCTCTCTTCAGGCACCTTATGAAGATGGTGCAGATCTATTTCTACCCCTCTGCTTACACCAGTCCTGTCTTGCTACTTCAAGAGGAGAAGCAGACGGCACGGCACGCCTGCTCTTGCCATTCGATATCTGAGTCACTGCCAGCAGGCCTAAGGCAGCTTCTGGGCTAGCAGGGAAGGTGGAGGCTGCCCCCTCCTCGCTGTCCCATCTTCCCACATCCAGCTCAGGATATTTACAGCCAAGATATTTGAGAGCTACACCGTGGGCTGGGAAACTGGCTTTTCACTGTCGAGCATCTCTGAGCATCACAGCCCATCTGCAGCATCAGCAGGCCTGCGCTCACCCCGGGAGCCTTTGCTGCTGCCCAGAGCTGTGGGGCTGCAAAAGGCAGAAAATCCACCGTCAGCCTCATCATCGGCACTGAGGGCAAGGTGATGGGAACAAATAGGTGATTGTCCGTGGGCATATAGGCTCTGTCACGTCTGAGAGACAGAGGGCTGTCTTCTGCTGCCTTCTCCGTGGTGTCCAGATACCTTCCAGGGAAGGCAGGGATGCTCCCGAGGGTTGTCTTGCTAGGGAGGAAGTGAGAGGGGTTGTGGATTTCTCTCCACAGAGAAGAGGCATCTGTTCCTGCTGAGCATAGGCGCTGCCAACTTCCCTTTTTCAAAGGAATCACAGCTTTTCCCCAGCCCTCCAGTTCTCGAGCAGCACTCCCATGTTCTCCACTCTGAAGGACGTGCAGTGAGGCTGCTGGGCCAAACTCTGTCCTGGTATAACTTTCCTGACCTCCAGAAACACAAGAAGTTGAAAGGATAGTTTTAGTTTTCTTGCTGTTGTCCTTTTTCTCCAAAGCAAGAGGAGTTCACTTAATTCATGGGCTTGTAGCAGCTCAGGCTTAGATGCCAGCATGCATCTGCATGTCTAGGCAGAGCTTCTCCAGATTGAAAGCTATGAGCTTAGAGAAGCTGTGTACTAAGGGGATATTCTAATTCTGTATTTATATTAGACACCGCTCCAAATTATTAGCTGTCAGTTGTGCATTCCTGTTAGTGAGTGGGGGGGGGGGCTTGGCTTAGCACATTGACACTTCCCATCGGAACGGAGTATGCTCTTTTAATGGGCTCCCTGGCCTCTACTAGGTATGTATTTGTTGTTGCTAATCAGATTAACAAATCTCAGCATCTTGCTGCTGCTTTCTTGCATAAATCAGGAAGAGCGAGGCAAGATTTCTCTGGTGCCCTAAACAAGAAGGGCACAGCAGCAAAGTGAGCATGAGAGGAGGGCTATCCCTGAAGAAGTTTTTATGTCGCAGAGGCACAGTTTAGCATCCCCAGCCTCACGGCAGCAAGCGGTGGGTGTCCATGCTGAGCTCACCAGGAGCCCTGTCCATCTCCCACTTGCTGCAGGTCCTGCTCCTGAGGGACCGCCAAGTTTCCACCACTCCAGTATCATGCGTCGATCATAAAAACGGGGATGCACAGACAGCCCGCATGCATTCATCACTACTTTTTCATTATCTTTAATTAAATTCTGATATTACACCACAGTATTTCAGCCACTTTCATTACTTTCTTTATAGGCGGCAGCAGGAAAAAGCAATTATTGTACATCACTGCCTTGCCAAAATAAATTTTCAAGTCGATGTTTGGTTTTGCCTTTTTAGGCTGCAAAGTATGCAAGGAACCTCCTTCCCCAGCAAATATCCTGAGGACCCAGATCCTGATCCTGCTGAAAGCGGTGGCAAAGCTCCAGCCTGCTTGACGGGTGCCAGTTAAACGACTGTAACTTGGCAGCAATGAGAGGGATGAGGCAAACGTGTGGGGGGGGTGGCAGGTGGCTGGGAAAGACACTTCTTTCTCCTCATAGATGTCCCTAAAAGTGTTAAAACATCAGTGTAGCTTGTTCAGAGTGAGGTGAGAGGTGCTCAAGCTCCCTGCTTGCTCATGAGTGGGGTCCCCAAGAGTGACGAGGTGCTGACACTGGCCAGCCCCAGATGCTGAGGCTGCTTTTGCCCTTCGCTTTCTCCATTTCTCCCCCCTTTCCCCTCTCCAGAGATGAGCAACAGCTCCCGCCCGGGACCGTGCTTTCTCTGAGAGGGCCCCCGACCTCCCCAACATGGCGGAAACAGCGACCCTGCCTTCACAAGATGGCGGAAGCAGTATCCGGGAAGCAGCGCTTTCCCCCGACCTTCTCAATATGGCGCTCATTCCCCGCCTCCCTTATCAACATGGCGCCGGCTGTGCGGACAGAGGCGGCTGCACGAGCCCCTCATTTGCCCTTCCCAAGATGGCCGCCCGAGGGTGGGGGGGCGGTGCGGCGGGCCCCTCCCAAGATGGCGGCCACGCTTCCCTACTCACAGAGCGCTTCCGGTGGGGCCTGGTGTCAGCGCCGCGGCTATGGCGGACCTGACAGACGCGGAGCTCCGGAGGGAGCTGATAGCGCTCGGTTACCGGCCGGGGCCCATCACCGCCACCACCCGCAAGGTCTACGTCAAGAAGCTGGGCTGCCTGCGGGCCGAGGTGGCGGCGGCCAAGCGCACAGGCCACGGCGCGCCGCTGAGCCCGGCCCGCACCCCCGCCAGGCCGCAGCAGGCCTCGCCCTCACGGCAGCGCTCCGGCTTCAACCTCAGCCCCGTCGGGGCCGCCCGCGACAGTGAGGAGGAGGAGGAGGAGGAGGAGGAAGAGGAGGAAGAGGAGGAGGAGGAAGGGGTGCAACCGCCCGCGTCCCGCTGGGGGACGTCTGGGGAGGGTGGTGGGCTGTCTTGGGGGGACTCCCGGGGGTCCCCCCCGGGCCGGGGCGGAGGACTCGGCTCCAGGGCTGAGGGAGGCCTGTCCCGGGACAGCTTTGGGGGGCTGAGCCCCTCGGAGCAGTGGGGGGCGTCTGTGGAGAGAAGTAGGGGGGCCGGGCTGGGGGCATCCCTGGGTGGGTTTGGGGGGCTGAGCTCCCCCTCTCAGTGGGATACGTCCATAGAGAGAAGTGGGGGGCTTGGGGCTGGGTTGAAGCCATGCCTGGATAGGTCTGGGGGGCTGAGCCCCATGTCTCAGTGGGACACGTCTGCAGAGAGAAGCAGGGGCCTTAGCACTGGGCTGGGGGCGTCCTTGGATGGGTTTCGGGGACCAAGCTCTGCATCCCAATGGAGCACGTTTACAGAGAGAAGTGAGGAGCTGAACGCTGGGTCGGAGCCATCCCTGGATGGGTTTCGGGGCTCAGGTTCCTCGTTGCAGTGGGGCATGTCAACAGAGAGAAGTGGGGGTCTCAGCACTGGGTTGAGGCCGTCCCTGGACAGGTTTTCGGGGTCGAACTCCACATCCCAGTGGAGCCCATCTGTAGAGAGAAGTGGGGGGCTCGGCATCAGGGCTGGGTCAGGCACATCCCTGGATGGGGCTGGGGGCCTGAGCTCCACATCCCCATGGGGTACCTCCACAGGCAGGAGCGGGGGGCTCAGCTCCAAACCCCTTTCCAGCGATGAGACTGAGGGTCTAAAGTCCAGGAGCCATTGGGGCATGTCGGGAGGAGGAATTGGGGGGCAAAGCTCCCGAGCTCAGTGGGAGACAGCAGGGGAAAAGAAGGGGCTCTTCTCTAACAGCTTGTGGAGGCAGGAAAGCGAGGTGACACCCAGCACCCACTGGGGCACCTTGGCGGGACCTGGGGCTTTGAGTCACCAGTTTGGGAGAGGGAAAGAGGACTTGGCTTCCAGTGTTCGGAAGGAGGCAGACAGGGATCTGAACCCTGGTAGCCGCGGAGGGGGATTGATCCGGCGGTTCCCATGGAGGGCTACGGGCGATGCAGGGGTGGCCTCAGGGAGCCGGTGGGAAGCGTCGGGGGCAGGACAGGGAATAACCTCCCGCACTCACTTATTGAGGTCAGCCCCCAAGCAGCAGACGGAAGGAAAGGGCAAAGGCCTTGAATACTATCTCTCCCAGTTCCTTTGCTTCGCCAGCTTTGTGCTGCTGCTGATTTTTCTGGGCATCCTCGCAGTGAAGATGATTGGGTCAGGCTGGCTTGACAGGAGAGAGGAGAACTGTACGTGCACTGGTTTAATCCTGTTTTTAGACTTTATTCTTCACCTTTCTTTTCTGCCTTCCCTTTATTATTGCCATCGCCATCGCATTTATCATTCTCATTGCCATAACTTGACATCTCTGCTTCTGTCCCCATTTCCATCTCCCCTTGCCCATGGGAACGTTGTTAGTCATGGAAAGTAAGTCAAGTGCGTGCTTTTTTTCAAATGAGTTCGGCCTTCAGTTCTTCAAAACCATGGGTTTTATGGAGAGTGACATTCCTGCTCGGCCAAGGATGTATTTTATGAGTGCCCATTGTGTAACATAATGTCTGTGTAATTGCCCGTTGTGTATTTTTAATGTTAGCTTCTGCACAGCACAGCCCTTTATCTTGGCCATGTGAGAAGTACAGTTGTTGAACTGGTACTTCAGCACTTCAAGTGTGGCAAAGCTTCATTGAGAAGTGAAAAGGGGCTTCCCTGTCACCCGGGTTTTAAAGCAGAGTTCCTCAGCTAGAGTAGATGGAAATATTGTCACTTCATGGCTTTGAACTGAAGGAAGAAGGGGTTTGGGATGTGGTTGGGAAGGTGCGAGTCCTGAAACATGGCACACTGTGCCTGTAGGAGTTTGTGCACTTTGCATGGGCTGGGAAAGCTGTTTTCTGCTTTCTCAAAGTCAGAATAAAACTGTCCCATGTCAGTAAATTTCTGATGCACCCTTTACAACTTGGTTAGATATTTCAAAACCAATAGTATTTTGAAGCAGGAAATCTTGCATCACAGCTGGAAGGTCTTTAAATTCTCAGATAATTAAGATTGCTAGGAAGTACTGCGTGGTGGACTGGTGGCCAGTGTATATCCAATTGTTGGGGCGGGAGGGGTCTGTTAAACCAGAGGCCATAATCTGCAGAGCTAACAGCTCCAACTAAAATAAATCCTCTGGTTTTGCCTTGAGGAGGCTTGATTTAAATCCCTGTTATCACCGTGATATTTCAGGTGACCATGGCGTGCAGCGAAAGGCATTACTAGATTGTAAAAGATCAGTGCAAAGCAGTAGGTAGTAGAGGAGCATGAAACATCTACTTAAAAGGAGCTATTAAAACATTCAGACCCCAGTTTTTACTTTCCAGCTGAACAAGGTTCATCATTTGCATCTGTTTTATTTGTTTTGCTTTCAGTGCTGCCTACCAAAGCAGTGCTTTGAATGCGCAGTTTGCATAGCAAGGTACTGTGTAGAGTGAGATTAAGAATAGCAGCATCGAGCTTTAAAGTAGAACCTTTTTTTTAAAAAGATAATTACTTTCTTGATCAAACCTCATGTTTTGCAGCCAGCTAACTCGCCCTCCTCTTCTCTCTCATAGTTAATCTCTTGCCTGTGGATTGTGACAAAAGAACGGATGATGTAAGCATATATTTATTTATCTTCAAGTACTGTGGATAGGGGATTCTCACAGAAGAGTAATTATACTAGGTAAATTCCACTAATATCAGCATCACTGTAAAATTATCAGTTCTATCGTTTTACAGAAAAAATATGATTTGATGAGTTGGAATTAATGGGCCAGATTAAATTAGGACTGTATATGAGACTCCAAAGATAAAAATTTAGATTCCTAATTATGTGAATCAATTTCTGCAATAGTTGTAACAGCAGTGATACTGGTTTGCAGTAAAGCTGTGTTCAGCTTTAACCATACAAGATTTAATCTAACTAATTCCCTGAACTCCATCATAAAGTGTTTGTACAGCCCTATTTCTTTTATCATAATATCCTATTAGGAGAGAGAAAATTTTGTATTGGACTCAGAGTTATGCTTAATCTCCTGTGATGTTCTGGAGGCAAAGAATCCATCTATGGTTTGTCAGAGGGGATGTCTGGTGGTGCAATCTGGGCTATGGGCTGGGGGAGTTGGTGGCAATTTCAGAGGATGTACTAGCTTGCTTTTGACTCAGAAACTGTAGGTCTTTGCTGCAGGTGTGTTTAATTTGAACTAGTGGTGCATGACTGAGCCAAACCCCACTACTAGTATTTTGTTTTGGTATTTTTAGCTAGTCTGACCACTGTCCTGTTGCTGCCGCTCTATTCGTGTTTGTTACCTGTTTCTGACTTTCAGTTCTGTCGAGCTAAACAGAAGGACATAATAATGAACGTGCTGCACGAGTTGTATAACTACTTGTCCATACAAGCTGGTAAGTTCCAGTTGTCATTATAAAACACTTAGGAGCATTCAGCAAACTGCCTCTCCCAGCTGTCTGGACATTTTTAACCTCAGTTTGAAGAGAAAGGTTTATGGAACAGTCAGTTCCACTTGAAGAGCTCTAAGAAAGTCAGGTAATAGAAAAATAGGAAAAGATGTGTTTATTTTTATTCTGAATAGTGCTTAGCTAATGCACTCATATCACTGTGCTCCTGTGGAGTGGTCCTTATTTGCACTTGATATATTGGGAATTTGAGGTAGAAATATTCAGTTTTATGGTTCTTTTCTACCAGCATCTTGAAATTGTCTTCAAGACACTCAGAGCCAGTAAGCATAAGCTGATCTGTTCGTACAAATAAAGGGACTTAAGAAATTGCCAGCTCTCTGCTGAAATGTGGCAGCTGATTATGTGAGTGCCTCTCTTTCTCAGTACAGAGTAAGACAGGCTCTCTTAGCTGAGGAGCTAACCGAGCACAGTAGTTCAGCCAGTCTCTACTACATATGAGCAAATCTGGTCCCTAGCTAGTATTTTGTGTTGGAGAAGGCTGCTAGAAATTCAGTGTATGAGTAGAAACTTATTCAGCAAGAGGTATAACAGTGTTAATCGGTAAAAGTGCTTAAGTTCTGTTTTCTGAATTTCAGACCTCAACAAGGCTGAAGCCTTTAGATACTTAAGCTTCACAGAATTTCTAAATCTTTTCAAATCAGACCTCGGCACTTGCAGAATTTCCACCAGTTTTGCGTAGTCTCTTAGTGCACTTGTTTAGTCAACTTTGTGAAGCAAGATTTAGAAGATCTAGTTCCTTGCCAGCATTTCTCTGCCTGGGTGGAAGGTAGAGATGCGATTTAGGCTCCTTAGAAGCATTTTGAATGCTGATCATTAACTCTAGCACTGCAGTCTTTGATACCTGATGGAAAGAGCCCCTCTGCAGGCTGTGAGGTCAGAGAGGCGGTTGTGTACTCTGCAAGGGGGAGAAACAGCATTTTTTTCCCCTCATTCTGTGTTGAGTAGCTCACATACTGAAGCATGAGGTTTGATTGCCCTTACCCAACCTATATGCAGTGGCTGAGCATTTTATTAATAGTCATAATCTTATCTGCCTACAGTATCAATCTTACCTTGTAATCATTTTGCCCAGAGCTATAGCTGATTTTAAAGGATAGCATTTCCAGACAGTTCAGTGTATTTCTGAACTGTTCAAGGGCTTTTTTCAAAACATTATTTCTATTTTACTTTTTACCAGGTAATTTTGAATGCGGAAACCCTGAGAATCTAAAAAGCAAATGCATTTGGGTTAGTGAAGCGAGGGATCACGTGGTGGTGAGTAGGCTGTGAACAGCTATTGTTATAACATAGTGCTTAGCCTCTTATAAGGCAATAAATAATAGATACTAAAGCAATTCACCATCTGTTTTACTTCCTCATCCTGTTTTGATTCTTTCCCGTATCTCTAACTTCCCCTTTGGCCAGTCCTGTTCTCAGCAGTTCTTTTGAAAATAATCTTCTCCTACATCTCTGATTCAGCCCCTGTAAATCTAACTTAATGGTTTGTTGTTTCACCATAGTCATCAGTCTTCTGAAACCAGAAATTTCCCTGGATTGAGGGCTGGGCAGAAGAAGGATTTTTCTATACCCCAAAGTGTCAGAAGACAGACTGTTTTGATCTAGCATTCCATTTCTTTCATGGTAAACTGCCAGTAAGATTATGTTGTATTTAGTGGTTAGTCTTAACAGTCTGGGACAGTGTTATTTCACAGAGTGCTTCATGCATCATCTACCATAGTCAGAAGACTTTAGTCCAGACAGACCTTCGGATTTAGTTCTCCTTCCTCCAGTTTGCAGAATCATGATAAGAATTAACCTTGGGACAGACAGCATAGAATGAGTTCTCCCACTACTGTAATGAAATAATGTTATTCAGTATTGTAAATGAATGGAGAACTAACCTTCTTATGGATTCTTCTGAACAGAATATAACTGGTAGTTCCCCACAGAAGTTTGAAGCTGCCCTGCACTGGATACTAAACAGTAACAAGGATTTAGGAATATGGTAAGTGGAAGCCCACTGTGTCAAAGTTACGTTTCTCGGTGTTGGCTGATATGTAATTTGACATCCTCTGTGGTGTGCCCTAAAAGCTCCCATACCTCTTTAGATTTCAGAAGATAATCTGGGATTGGCTTTGTCAGTGCTTGCTGGGCAAGCTTCCAAATGAAAAGTACAGCCCTGCAGCAAAAATTGGCAACTGAGCTCATTCCTTGGGAGTCTGTTTCCCAGCCTTTATGCTGGGGGACATTGCGTTCACAAACGTGCCGTCTTGCAGATGAGGTGTAAATCTGAGGTCAGGGCTGCTTATGGCTATCAACGGTTGTGTCGTGGTTCCTGCAAGGTTTAGAAGTGGTATTCCTGGTGTCCAGCCCATGGTCTTGTGACTACAGTACTCTTCTTAAACTTGCCCGTGTACTTGCTTTTCCCAAGATACCTTTTCTTCAGTACTGTTACTGTAGACAGAGTATTGTGGCGCTGCATCCCTTGACCAAAAGGTTTATTGGACAGCAAAGCGCCCTGTTCAGTAGGTGACATCACCCATGCTTTGGTATCCTTTGGAGCAAGTCCAGATGAGGAGGAGAGAAAAATGGATTGTTGAATGGTATCTTTTCTTTAGTGTCAGTTGTCTTTCTGGCAGAACACGCAGTACATGTTAAAATGAATGGTCTGACTGACTACGTAAGGTGTTGGTCAGTCGTCGGTGGGGCTTTTTTCTCTTGGGTTTCTTGGCTAGCAGTCTCTTCAGTGTATGAGAAATAACAGAAATACTAGTTTTTTCAGGTAAAAAATACAACATTCAGGCCATAACCTAATGGAAGACTGTTATCCAGAGTCTCCAGACATCATTATCTTCCTCCGGGAAGTGTGGGCTGCCTCCAGTCTGTGTTAACTCTGAAGTCTAACATTTGTTTGCATTTTAACGTTGCTAAATGTATCTCTGATTAAATGAATTGTAACAGTAGTAATGCTGGAGTTCGTGGGCATAGCTTGTATGAATTCCCACTGCTCGATTTTTCTCTAAAAAATTTCTGCAGCTGCTGCTGTGATCTAAGGATCAGAGAGTGACTACTGCTTTGATTACTGATGTGTGGCAAATTCCCAGGACAGGACATAGTTTCCTTAGTGGCATGTTTGAATTTGTAGGTGCGCTGGGATCCAGAGTTTTCAAATTCATATTTTTATACAGGAGTACTGCTCATGTCATGAGCTGTGTGATACAATACGCTCCCATTTTTTTATTTTCATGATTAGCCACTCTGCCGGCTGTTGGCCGAAAGGATCAACTTTCGTGCAGAATGAGTGTTCAGCATGCTTAAAAACCTGCGGGTGGCATTTTTAGCAAATGCTACACGAGATTATTTTTCTAGGCGCTAGTCTGAGAGGAATAGCTGAAAATGAGCTCTCTACTGGGTGATTCTGCTGCATATTTAAAATATTTTCATGGAATTACAATTTGGATTGTAAATAAGACAAGGGGGTGGGAGACAACAGTGTGTCTCCAGCTACTGTAGAATCCAGTAACCAAATACAAGCTGTCAGCAGTTTGTGAGCTGTGCACTAGTAAATTCAGAAAACATCTTTGTCTAATAGGTTATTCATTGCAAACATAGAATGAATTAGTAGCTTAAAAAAATAAAATCCCCTTTAGTCCAATTGCTCTGAATCTGATGGCTCTCACTTGGATTACTTGATGCCTGTTGACTAAGAGTATCTAATAAGGAAACCACATCAGGGTAGATCTGTATATAAAGTGAGTTAAAAGCATATCGGATAGCACAGCAGGTGTGTAGAAGTGATTTTGCAGGAGGATGTGTTATCGATTTTGCCATGAATGCTTTCCGAGGGTGTGTCTGTTCTCACTGCAGATACAGTTGATGCGTTGTCACTTTTCTAGCTAAACTGTTTATGCTCATCTGTACTGAGGAAAACAGCACAACCTCCACAGACATTCACAGTCTCCCTCAACTGCTCTCTCTGCAATTGCTGATGAGTGACTCAGTAAACATTTCCATTTCTCTGTGCTGGGAGGTGGGAATCCAATTTAAAGTTTAATCTTCTGCACGCCGAGAGGTGCTGTCAAAGAGTCTGCAGAGGGAGACTTCAGTTTACCAGTGGGAGTTCCAGCCCTGCTGCCTTTTCTAAAGCCATATCCATTCCTTGCTAAGCAGCCAGTCCCAAAATGTTCTGGAAAGAGGAGCTGCAAGGATGTTGGTGTATTTTCTATGTGGTGCACAGAACGAGTTACTGCATCCGCAGTCTGTTTGTTCTTCCTGTCTTGATTAAAGACTGCAGTTGGAGTGTCTGCTCTCTTCAGTGAAGATTTTCTGCCTCTTCCCATCAGGTTGAAAGGCAGAGACCTTTCGGAACCAGTTACCAAAGTGGAGGAAGTGTTCTGTCTCGAATCAGCCCATCCTCAGATGGGGCTCGGCTGCCGTTTCCGTCGGGCAGTGGTCACTGCCATTATGAACCTTTTCCTGTTTTTCTGGTGTAAGTCATTGGTGTTAGTAATCAGCTTCTCTCCCCTTGCTAGCTGTAGAGGTGAACTTGTGCAGGCGCACATGTTCTCCCAGACATATGAAATTACTAACAGAGGTGAAATAAATCTGCTGATGAGTTAATTTCTAATTAACCTTTGTTCTGGCAGCAGAGGGAGACCTGTAGACCTGCTCTTGTGCTGTGAGTGCTTAACACGTACTTTAAATCAGCAAGCTGATTAGCTCTCTGGGTATTCCTCAAGTACCCATTACTATGGTCTGCAAAATAAGTGTGTTAACCTACCTAAAAGATTCGTTTTTTCTTTCTGTTCTTACACTAAGCTGCAAAGTCTTGTAGCCTCTTTAATAATGACTTGTAGCATTTCAGTGTTAGAGGTTTTATTGGAATAGTCTGTCATGCCCCAGCTGAGACAGAGGTCTTACTGAGCGAGGTGATAACGAGAGATGAGTGTTGACTAGAAGAGTTTATAATCTAGCTAGGCAAGGTGGGGGTGAAAGGGGATAGTTATGTTTATTGTAGAGACTGAGATACTAAAGTTAGCTCATGTCGTAATGGGGGCATTTGTCAATGCTAAACCTTCAATATAGATCTCCTGAATTTTGGGCTGGTGTTGGAGCCCCAGGCTTTATTTCCTTATCAAGCAGCTATCTTTGGAGCAGTGAAGCTTGACAGTCTTCCTAAGTGATTATTGTGGGGGAGGCCTCTAGCAAAGAGATAGCTCTGGGACTTAGAGAATTGAAGCCCTGTGGTTGTGCTGAGGTTTCTGGTGCTGGGGGAAAAAAAACTGTGACGAGGCCTTCCGACCACCTCTTCCCACATCCACGTGTGCTCTTCTGCTGCAGATGTTGTCAGTACCAAGGTTTCTGTGGGGCGCAGCTGCACTAATGAACAAAATGAATTGCTTGGATTCAGTTCCAAGCAGGCCTGGGTAGCAGGGAGTGAAAGCTGCCTCTGGGGAGAGGCAGTGTCAGAAATAAAACTGCTAGCATCCAGCAAGTACATGTCTGTCAGTTATTGAATTCCATTTGTTTTTATTCTTCTAGGTCTGGTAACTCTTTGGGGGATCCTAATCTTCCTTAGGTATCGCTGGCGGAAGATGGAGGAGGAAGAACAAGCCATGTATGAAATGGTGAAGAAGATCATAGGTAGAATCCAGTAGCTCTGTAAATGCAAGTGGCCCTGTTGTCCTCTCTACAGTGTTGAGGTCTCTCACTGTTTTGTCTTCTTGCCCTCCAGCTGTTGTCCAGGACCACTATAAGGAATGGGAACGGAATTTGGAGCGTTACCCCTATGTTGGCATTTTCCACGTTCGGGACAGCCTCATCCCTCCTCAAAGCAGGTGAGCTGAATTTTATTCATTAAGGAGAGCTGTCAGCATGATGTTATTCAGCACAGCTAAAAAATGCAGTTACGGGGCAACAGACCATGAGCAGACAATTGATGGGAAGCTGGACTGCAAGAAGAGTGTGTCTGGCCTTTCAGTTTATAAAGGATTTTGACATAACTCAGGCTGTGTCTTAACCTGCTGCAGATTAATGTGACAGTCCCGGGGCTGATATTTTGTGCAGTCACACAGGTGTATTGTCATTGTTCTATCAAACAGTAATTGGATTTTGTTTTGCTTGGGCATGGAGCATCTGATTTTCTCTCCTTCATCTAATGTGTGTAGGATGCTATCCTCTTTCTCAGCCATCGTACCTTATCCTCCCGACAGGTGCTGTGCTTTTCAGAACAAACCTTCCCATGAGTTGAATAGGGTATTGGGAGGCTCTTCTGAAGTGGTTGTGTATGTTGCTGCCTGGAAAGTTACCAGTTCGAGTTGGGCAGCTTGAAAGGGAGATAAAGTGAGATGGCTGGTTTTGACGCTTTTTCCAAAAGGAATTGTGCTCGAGATAGTTCCTTCCTGGGTGGTGGGGCCAGAGGGCTGCAGCCTGGTTCTCGGTGGTTTATGTGCCACTTGCTCCATCTCTGCAGGAATGTTTCTTGTGTTTTGGTTAAATGTTGCTATGGCACAGAACACTACGTGTGCTGCAAAGTCTTAAACATCCGCACTCTTTATGAGTCCCAAAACTCCTTTCCTACTGGTGGTAATTTCAGCTGTTTCAAACCTGTCTCTGTGTGTGTGGCGCCTAGAATTACTAGACACTGATTCAAAACTGGGGTGAACTTCAGTTTGCCCTCCCTGGTCTGAGATCTCTCTGCATGCAGGAAGGGTGAGGGCAATTTGCTAATCGAGTCCCTTTGCAATACAAATTGAGCTTGAAATTCAGGGCAGTCATCTATTACTGGTACTGACAGAGGGTCTCTTCTTGTCTCCCCTCAGCCCCTGCTCCAACCCAGGCAGGACCTCTGTTTTCATGTCCTGGCCTGAAATCGCTTCTCAGCCAGAATTCTGGTTTAATCTCCTTTACTGTCTGCACAGGGAACAGGAGGCAGCTAGCGTAGCTTGATCAGTAGCCACAATTGCTGTAAGCAGGAAGGAACAATGAGGATATGATTCTAATTTATTTTCTGTTTGTTGCTGTTTCTTGCAGAAAAAAAATGAAGCGGGTCTGGGAGAGAGCTGTGGACTTTCTGGCTTCAAATGAGTCACGGATTCAGACAGAGTCGCACAGAGTAGCAGGAGAAGATATGCTTGTGTGGAGATGGACTCAACCTTCTTATGTCTCGGATTCAGAGCACTGAGGAGGAGCGAAGTTGAGCAACTGTTGATATGGACCTCTGCAAGGGGACGGTCCCTTCTCTGGTGGTGGGAAAGAGCAGGTCATGGTCCTAATCTCCTAGGCTTGGGGATTGTGCATATCTGTTTGCTCTTCTTTCTGAAAATCTTCACACACAAAACTTCAGGGCAATAATGTTGGCTTGGAAAGAAGATGGGCTTGAGCTGGTGGGAAGCTAGAATTGCACCAAAGTTAGCCTTCCAGCAGATATCTGGCTTCCGTAGAGAAGCAAACCTAGAACAACTTTTTAAAAAGGAAAAAAAAAAGCATACCTAATATCAAGGGACTTGGGATCTCTCTGACAAAGCTTAGGTATTTAAAATTTGACCTCAATTCTGCAAAGGCCAACTGGTGGCAACGTCCATCAGGGAATGTGTTTGAAGAAGATTAACATTTCCCATGGAAACATTAGGGTGGCAGTTAAGATGCATTTTATTAGAATTTGTTTTTATCTGTACAAAAACATTGATGAAAGCACTTGCTGCTTCCTAGCGAGGAAATTGTTTGTGTCGGCTTCACCCTTTAAAAATGGGGGAGAGGAGGAGAAGGCAGGTGAAGGTAGTCCTAGAGGGAGGGCAGTCTGATGTGCCTTGGTCGTTTGGGCTGGGTTGGGTGGGATGGAGGAGTGGTTGTGACCCTGTTATAACTTCTAAGTCTGCAGTCTCTGTGCTTTATGATTTCTCGGGGGTGGGGAGAATTTGGGTGGAAAATAAAGGATCTAGGAAGCTTCAGAAAGCGCTTTCTTGTGGCTACAGCCAAAGGGACTGCTTCATGGGCTATTAAAGAGCAGCTTTGGAAAGGCTATTAGGGCTGAATGTACATGTTTAACCTGGGCAGCTGCAATGTGTGTGCTGTATGTCAGAGCAGAGATGTACCACGCTTGGAGTGTCAGTACAGGGATTGCCAAGTCAGTGTTCCTGCAGCCTCACAATAGGTACAAGGAGCAGCGATGAATCCTCTGTTTGTGCTACAGGCATTGTATTTTGTATCTATAATAATTTGGTTACTTAAGTTTCTTTTTATGTCCAGCAAATGAGTGTTTGTTTCAAAGAAAATAGCACCAGTGTGTGGCAGTTTAGGCTAGGCAGAGATACTGCTGATCTACTCTTCCCAATATTGTAAAACAGCCGTCCAGCTCACCACTAAGACAGCAGGGACCAAATTAATTTCTGGCATAAGCTAGTAAAACCTGCAGAAAGAAGCCAGCATTGATTTGAACCTGGGTAACCAGTGGATGTTGTTCATAGCATCATGGGTACAGTGTGAATGCTTTCATTCACCTCTGATGCTGGATGCACGGAGAACTTCCTCTTCAGGCTCTGGGTTAGCTTACGATGGCTGCCGAAGCCCTGCTCCCTGCTTTGCAGGCTGGTGATGCCATGTACAAGGTTGGTTCCTTCTGCTAGTCCCTGCTCACCTCCCGGTATGAAGTCTGCACTTCTCTGCCCCACTGCTGGCTTTGGTGGGGTTTTCCAACTATGTACCCCGCAGGCTGCTGTGGAAGGACTGCAGAGACTCCTTACATACCTCCTGCTGGTGGTCATCAACTAAAATGAGTGGAGAGAGCAGATTTCTCCAGGAACAGAACATGGGGAGATCTTTCCCATTAAATGGGAAATACCCTGCATGGAGTTGACTCTTACCCTGTATTTTCTTTTTGGTTGCAAGGGTAGGGCATTTGAACGGAAGAAGAGACTCAACAGCTGTCTTCAAGACAATGACCAGCTTCTTCCACTGTTAATAAAATAGGGGATAAAGTGAAGGCAGCCTTGATTCTTCTAAAATGTTGTAATGAGATTGTCACCGCTGCAGTAGGAATTTTTGCCAACACTGGTGCCTACGTTCTTAAGCCTTTTTAAAATATTTGTAGGGTTTGGGTTAGCTTTTTTAAACCATCCAAATCCAGAAGTGAAGAGTCAGGCATTGCAGTCATCTTTTTTGTATTAAACTTGTTTTTGTAGAATAAGTTTCACTGGCTTGGTGCTGTTTATATGTTCAGTTTAGCTCTGTAAATCAATATATAAAATAAATTTATTACAAATAATTTGTTACCTTTATTTTTATTGAGGAGTCACAGATTGTTCCAACAGCTTTCGCTCAGGCAGATCAAATGGATCCTGCGCCGGAGAGCTCACAGTTTCTAAGAATAAGACCGAAGATGGCATGGGAATGGCATGACAGCCTAATGAGACAACGTGGATCCTTGTGACGCTCGGTGATCTCGGCGCAATAGCCAGCAGTCTGAAGTGTTTGGTTGCAAATTAAATCTGTTTTGGGAATAGTTGGCATTAAGCAGAGGTGTGTATGAAAAGCAGTTAGCTTGTTTAGCTGCATTTTGTAGAGATTGACGGCTTGGGGGGTTGTGAAACTGTAAATATTAGTTTAGCAGGTGGATCAGTATTCCTGTGGCCCATAATAAAGCAGTTATTTAAAGCAGGGAATGGGATGGTGCAATAACTCTGTGGTAAGTGAATGAGGGTGCCTCAAGCTTCATGTGTTTTGCACTCATTCTCTGAAAGGCAGATCCCTCGCACGTTGGGTGTCTGAAGTCAACAGCTGCTGCAGAAAATCTTGACTCTGGTCCAAGCTGCTGATCCTTTGTGTTGTGGCATCCTCAGGCTGTGGTTAGCTCGCCTGTTTTTTGGGACATGATGTGAAGTGCCAGGTGATGGTATAGGAAGACTGGGAAGTAATGACGGAAGTGTTGGATACGGTGCTGGAGTGGGATGGATGTCCCTTCCTGCTCTTGCTCCCAGGCTGTTGCTTGTCCTGGACACATCGCTTCCCTCCTTGTGTCCCAAGGGTTAATATGTTTTAAGCAAGGCTATTACAAAGCTCTGTAAAACAGGGGGATATGGGTCATGGAAAAAGGTAAGAAGTCAAGTCTTAGCCTATTTACCAGATCCCCAAGGCTTCCAAGGTTGCCTGGTGAGTAGAAGACACATAAGCACATCTTGATGACAAGTCTGACTTGACTTTATGGTTCGTTTCCTTGAGCGTTTTCAATTCCTCTCTCACCTGAGTGTCAGTGACTCAGAATATGTGCTACTGCGAGACTCAACTTCTTCAAAGTCTACTCCTGAAACGGCACGAGTAGTCCATGAATCATCGTTGTGTAACTTCTGTGGACATGGTTGACTCACTCATGTTTGGCTAGAGAAATGTTTAATTAATTTCATAACGTAGGTCTGGGTGACAAAGGGGGAGATTTCCACCAGCACAGAAGGAGGTTGGCTCCGTGGCTGCTGTGGAAGTTGGTGGGAGCTGGCTACTTCCTCTTTGGCGTTGAGTTGTTGCTAAGGTATGGGAACAAAAGGGAATGCAAGGGTAAATCTCTCCTCTGAACCTGCACTCCTGTTCAGATGCTTTTACCCAGTGTAGGTTGCTAAGTTACAGCTGATATATATTCAAGGTAAGGAAATAGTCTTCAGTTTGGTGTAATTACATGTGCCAGAGGATGTTTGCTTTCAACCAAGCTGCCATGATGTTTTCTGTGATAGTCTTCTCCGTGTCCCTTCTTTCATTTGCTATCTTGAGAGCAGAGACTAGTTTCATGCCACCCTGACTGCGAAGCTCCTTCTTGCTCTGTACAAACTGTATTGATAATTTCTGTGGTACTAGCAGTTTTCCCAGAACCCCAGGTCCATTCAAAGGAGATGGAATAGGTGTGTTCTTCATCCCCCTGCCCTGCTCCCCTTACAACTTGCATTCGCTCAACTGGAGTTGCTAACATCCCCCTCCCACTTTCTTGCAAAGTATTAAGTTTCTATAAATAAATTCTCCAACGGTGGTCTGATAAAGCCATCGCATCCCCTTACTGTCAAAAAGGAAAATATGTACCAACAAGGAATCTAAAATAAAATTTGCCCTTTATCTTTTCATTTCCTGCTTCCATTTAAAGCCTTTCACATTAAATGTTTTGTCTCCTGCTGACATGACAGCTGATGCTGTGCCTTATTTATGGGGTGCAGAGTCAGGGCTCTGTGCCAGTTCTCCTGGAAAGATCAACGTGAACCGGAGAAGAAAAAGCATGGCCAGTGAGTCCTGCCCGAAGGCATCTCCCTCCGGCACAGCCCCTGTCCGAAGCAATCACTCCCCAATGCCTGCCGTGGGATTTCCACCGTGACTTCATTCAACCTTTAAAGAACAGCCTCCGGGTAGGTGATGCAAAAGGTTTTTGTGCACATTAATAAATGGACCCTCGCTACAGCAGAGAGCGAGGTGTGAGTCCTGTCCGCACCTCCCTACCCCACAGAGGGCTGCCAGCAGCTGCAGAGCGGACTCCAACAAAGGGACCAGACGCCTGTGCTAACCTCAGAGTAGCACGTTATTTTTGTAGGAACGATTCTGTAAGGCTGGTGAGATCTGATGCAAAGCCCGTGGGTGGCTTTGAATTGGCTCTCCAAAATGAGGAGAACCCCAGTGGGTTGTGGAAACCTTGCTTGGCTTCGAGCTTGTCTCACCCAGGAGCAGAGTGTGGGCTCTGCGCTCTGGAAGCCCCCCATGCTCCCCCTTCCCCTGGCAGAGCAGCGGCTGCCCGGGGATGTGTTCTCCGGTGGCAGGAGGACACGGGAGCCTCCGCTGATCTCCCCTCTGACGGAGGAGACCACCTGCCCTGTGTCACTTCGCCCTGCTGTAGGGCCAGATTCTGTGTTTACATCCCGGCTCCAAAACAGCTTTCGGGATCCAAACAGCAACAGCGGAGGAAAACACCCTAGGGTGGGGAGGAGCTGCTGGCGGGGGAGCTGGGAGCAGGGCTGGGCTTGCAGGGTGCAGCTGAGCCACTCCCATGTAAAACAGCTCAGAAATGGGTCTTGGGGGGATCCCCATACTCCCTCCAGGAAAGCAGCTCCTGCTTTGCTCCCAGCTGGGCTCCCAAAGGTGCCACCAGCAGCAAGGACACCTCGACAAGGGGTTACTTGTGTTTGCCAGCTGGTGGGTGAGGCTCCAGCACCCATCAGCAGCACGAAGGGCATTTCCAGCCCCGGGGCTGGCTTGGGGCAAGAGAGTGACCCAGCTTGGCCTGGGGGGTGGCTGTCCTGGTGTCACCGTGCCATGGCTGCAGGTCCCGTCTGGGACCGCTGCCTGCCTGGGGAGAGAACGGAGAATAAAACAGCAAAGACATAAGGATGGTCCAAAGTGGAGGTGGGAAGGGGAAAAACCTGCACCATAGGTGTCTCTGCAGGAGGGGAAAGGACGGCCGCAGCACAACGGGGTTGGTGCCAGCTCCCTGCGTGTCCTCGGCAGTTTTTGTTGTTTTTCTTCAATGTCCAAGGCAGTCCTCAGTCGCACAGTTATATTCCAGCTCTCCCGCAGATATAAATTTAGTCCTTTAATATGAGAAGGGCCCCGCACAGGTCATGTCAGGATGAGGCTGGGTGGTGCTGAGGTTACCCGGGAGCTGGGGACCTGGCAGTCCTGGCTCACTCGAGGCTTGGCCTCCACTTTTTTTAATGACAGCTTGCCCACCCTGCCCCGAGTCCGTGCCGGGCTGGAAGAGGTTTGGAGTCAGGACCGAGGCTGTAGCCTGCAGGCTGGCCAAGGGTAATAATATCTTTGTGCCCGTAATTAGTTCCTAATTAGCATAGTTTTAATATGAGACAGGGTTGCTCTCGGAGTGCTCTGCTTTTTACAAGAGGCTGAGTAATTGCCTCTGCGGCTCTGTGGCTGCTCGGCAGCGGCAATCAGCCCAGCTGCCTGCGCGGGGACCCCGCAGCCGCTCACGGGCTCTGGCTTGGGCATTCTCCGTGTGCTTGTTTTAATGGAACGATAACTGAAAAGGACATGTCTCCTGGCCCGGCAATACGCCCGACATAAAAATGAGATTGCTTCAATTAACACATGCATTAAAAATACATACGATATCCAGCAGGATGGGCTTCTGCAAAGGAGAAAGGTGTGCACCGGTGATGTGCCGCAGCAGCTGGACACCTGTGCTGGGCAAACTGGGGCCACAGGGCAAACCTGGGTGCTCGGTCCTGCCTCTCACTGAGCCCAAGGGACCCCCCTCCCCCCCCCGAGCATAGGCCTGGCCCCCTCCTACCAGCTCAATAATGATTAGATTTAAAGCCTGATGTGTTTGGGGATTGCATACTGGCTTGGCTTCTCTTTTCAGGGGCTTTTGGAGCAATGTGCTATAGCGCATGAAGGACAGAGTAAGGGATGTCGGGACTGCTTGCCTGTGCCACCCTCGTGGTGGGCACAGTGAAGGTGAGCTGGCTTGGAGACCTGCTCTGCCCTATCCGTCCTGGAAAAGGAGGAGGGAACACCAAGACCAGCCTCACTTGGGGGACAGGAGAAGGGAGAAGCAGATGCTGGGAACCAGCATGTTCGTGCTGCTGGGACGGTCCGTGATGCTGAGCAGTGGCCCACAGACCATCGTCCTACGATGCTGAGCCCTTTCCAGAAACGCAGGAGAGCCAGCTGGTGCCTGCAGCGATCACCCTTGGCTTGCCAAAAGGCAAGAGGTGCTTCAGCCGTGGGACAGCTCTGGGCTGTCACCGGTACCCCTGTCCCAGAAGAGCCAGGAGGTTTGGTGGTAAGCCTAGCAGGGACCACAGCCCAGGTGGGATGGAGAAGGCAGCAGCCGGGTCTGGGTCTGCACCGGCATCCCCAGCTGTGACCAAAGCCCCAGGTCTGAGCTTGCTCTTCCTCGCTCTGCTGCCTCTTAAACTGAAAACCTCCATCTCTCACCAGGGATACCTTATCAAGTGCGAGTTCTCCACAACCCTACAGCAGCAATGTTTAAGGATAACCTATAGCTCAGCTGTTCAGCCAAGGGGATGCAGTCAGGGATGACATGGTGGAGACGAGGAGGAGGGGAACGTGTTCCCCACAGCCAAGCAAGGCACCCTGGCTGGAAAAGTCGCTCAGTCTCCCTCAGCCCTGTGTTTTTTATTCCCAGTCTGTCCTCTGCTCTGGCCTCCAGCTGCTCCAGGGCCCTCATGGTGTGGGTGATGCCGAGCAGAGACAAATTGTGGCTGGGGACGTTTCACCCCATCGCTGGAAGGCAGCAATGTACCTTAGGGGAATTTATACCCCGAGTTTTTGAGACTTCTGTTGCGTTTTGCTGAGATTGGCCAATGGGTTCAGAAGTTGTTGACAGGGAATGCACCACGGCTGGCCTTGCAAAGCACCCACGTCAGCTTTTTTCCCTTCAGAAACCAAGCTTTTTAAAAAAAAAAAAAAAAAAAAAGCACTTTCCAGCATAAAGCAGAGTGAAGTCAGGGCTCAGGAATCAGGGTCTTTGTTTCATCCTTGTCTTTTATCTTGGCCTCTGCCTCCCACCATCAGTTCGATCCCTCTGGTCTTCGTGAGCCTGTTCTCTCCCCTCCAGTTAGCGAGAATTACCACATCCATCAATCGTTATCTCAACAGCGAGATTTTCTTCCCAACCTCCTGCCGTTTTGCTGCAAAGCCTTCCCAGCACCTTTCCTATTGCAGCCCGTGGGGCCCCAGTCATGGACTCTGCTTTGCTAATGTCCTGAAGTTATCACTGGGGACTGGCCTGGGTCTCTTGGGACGGGGGGATGAGAGTGGGAATCACTCCCTCTTGTCCTGGGGGATGCCTGGATCCCCTAAATAATATATGGGTCCTGTCTTCCTGGGATGCATGGGCTGGTGTGGCGTGTCCGGAGCATGCCAGCCCTCGGCAAACACTGGAGAGGATGCCCAGAAGCGGGCGGAGGGGGACATATGCTGTCCTTGACTCGCTGGAGGAGACAATTTGGCCCTGGCAGGAAGCTCCCTGGGACTTTTCCATTCCCCCCACCGGTCCCAAAGCACTGGGGTGTCGGTTTTCCCTGCACGAGGCTGTTGGCAGGGTCCGGGCTGGGTGGCTGCGGGCTCTGCTCTCTGATCCACTCCCCTGCTGCCCAGCTTCGGGCAAACACTGGTCTCGCCTCATGCCTTGCCCCATGCCTTGCCCCCCCCTTGCCATAAATAACTTTTCTTTGCCAAACCCCCTTAGCTCAGCGGTTCGGTCTGTCCCACAGCATCCCGGCTCCTCTTGCCACCTCCCTCCAGCAATGGCAGCCCCTCTGCCCTGTCCTCCCCTGCATCACCCCAGCACGTTCCCCCCACGCAGGGAGCAAAGAGCCGATGGGTTTCTTTGCTTGGAGCTCTGGGAAGCCGGTGTCCATCTCGCTCCCACTGCCATCCCCCTGTCCTCTCCAGCAGGGAGGTGATAAACACCAGTGGGGCTGAGCTGGGTTGGGGGGGAGCTTTTGCTGGTGGTACGGTGGAAAACAGGCTGGAAAAAAGCAACAGTTGTTTTTCTGGACAGACTATTGCACAAGGGGGCTGGAACATGGCCGCACTTTCTGGAAAGCCTACCACATGGCTGGCCCCTTCTTCCTTTATCCTCAACCCTCTCGCACACGCGGCTTTGTTTTCCTTTAACACCCAAGGGTGTTTCTCCCCCCGTTAAAGCTCAGCTGTCAGCTGGACATACCAGGCGCTTGCCAACACCGGCGGCAGCAGTCAGGTGATTGACCAAATGTCCGCAGGCTCCCCCAGCTCCCTCATTTCTCCTACCTGAACCACACCGAGAAGCAGCAAGAAACCCAGCCTGGGCAGCACCCTGAGCCCACACTCGCCGCTGAGCCCAGACTGGCCACATAAACCCAGCAGGTGAGGACCAGGGTGGCTTCTGCATCAGCACCGGCTGCCTTCCAGGGCAGGATGAATACAGGCAGGATGACCAAGCACTGGATTTTGGAGAGCGGGTGGGATATTATTAGGAAGGCTCCGAGCACAGCCGTGGCTTGAGGGAAGGAGCGGGAGCGAGAGGGACAGCCGGCACCTGGGGGGTTGGTGTGAACCTCTGGAGCAACATGGGGTCTGCAAAAAATGAGCCTGGTGGTTTTTGGTTCTCTGTTGTGCTCATGGTGTTGCCGGAAAGCGCGGGGATGCTTGGCAAAAGGGCAGATGGTGTTTGGTGCTGTGAAAGGCAGAAATCAGGCAGGGGGGTGAGGGAACCCGTGCCCCTTCCTGCAGGATGTGGTGGCACCGCATCCCCCCGTCCCGCGGCGCTGCTGGCAGCCCCAAACTTGCTACCGTGGTCCAAAGGCACGTTCCCGCATCCCACCGGGAAGCCTAGCCCTCGCCAGCCCCGCTGCTGCCCCACACCATATCCTGGGGGGTGGGCAGGGGGCTGTCAGCACCCTGCCAGCCCAAGATAACGCGACTTCTATCCCTCCCCATAGATCCTGCTGCTTCCTGCAAAGCAGCCAAATAAATCCATCAGTGCAGCAAACTGAATCTTTGCATCTTCTTCATGAGGGACGCGGGGACCAGTCATCAACTTTACGAACATCATTTTCTTTCAGGAAAGGAAACGTAAGATAAAAGAGCTGAGGGTTTCTGCACATAAGGATTTATGGCAGGATGGTTAGAGCTGGATTTCTTGCCGAGACCTGAGCTTTTCGCTCCCAGCATGGTGCTGCCCTGCAACTATTTCTGACTTTGGCTGTAGTCGAGGGAAGAGCAGGAAAGGCAGACCTGAAGGTTCATTGAGGGTTGCAGCTGCTTGCCTGTCTGTGCAAACAGCCTGAGTCTGCTTTGAGCTGTGCTGGGATGGGTGCTGAGCTGGAACTGGTAGGATTTTCCTTATGGCCAAGGCGTTGTGGATTTTGGAGGCACGAGGCCAAAGACTGAAGGGAAATGGGGCAACGGGGCTTTGCAAAACACACCCGCACCTTGCTCTTGGGCTGGGCTGGTGCTTGGTGCAGGAGCTGGCTTTGGTTCCAGGTCAGCTGTTGTACCAAGAGCTGTGGATATACACATCTCTTCAAATTAACAGCTATGTTCTTTTCTCGCCTTTTAATGAACAAAAAAAAATAAATTAGCAGCCCCCTGCAGTGCTTGAAACCCAATTTTGCAGCATGGTGCTTTGGGATGCTCCGGAGAGCTGGGTCCCCCAGAGGGGAAGGTGCTGAGCACGATATGTAAGACCTAAGAATGTGGTCCCATGCTGACAGAGCACTTGTATTTAAAGTGATTTTGCTTTTTAATATCCCAAAGTATTTCTGCTAAGAGGACTCCAGGCATTTACGAGGCATGGACTTTCTCCTAGGGCCGGGCTGTCTGTGTTCTGCCCCCACGTCAGACTCAGAGCCACAACGGTTCTGCTTGGGACAGGATGGAGTAGGCACTAATTAAAGATTAGAGAATTTAATCTGCTTGATTTCTTTTGGCTGTGCTTAGAGTTGGGAATAAACAACCTGTTTAGCTCAGACTCTTTTGACATTTGGCCCTAAATGAGAGCAGAGCAGCGGGTAACGGTACCCAGCAATCAGTGTCCCCCCAAGCCCTGGCTCGTGCTGCCGGCAGAGCTGTGACCTGGCCGGTGCCGATCAGCCTGGCAGGTCCTCGTTACACATACACGATCGTTAGAAAATAAAGTCTGGCTCAGGCCAGCGATGCTGCTGCCATGCACTGGAAGGGAAGGTGGTGTGTTCTGACAGTCACCGGGGAGAACAGCCAGGGAGAGGCAGATGTTTTAAAGTATCTTGGTTTCTTTTTCTGGAGAGGGGAGCTCTCTGTATTTTCCTTCCCCAATATTTTCTGAGTCATCTTCATCTGCAGTGCCTGGGTTGCTTTTTTTTTTTTTTTTTTTTAAGTTAGGGGAAGAATATTCAAGGTTTCTGGTTTTGTTTTTGACGATACAGATTTATCTGTAATTCCGTGTATTTTTAGTGACGTAAATATCTTTTGGCATTCACGATAACTTGAGCCAGCAGAAGTGATTTATTTTAAGAGTGTCTTGTTTCAGAGTAGCTCAGAGCAGCTCAGTAAGTGTTTGCGGTAACATTTATCTGCTCCGAACGGACAAGCTGCTTCAGAACAAAAACTAAATGAAAAGAGCCCCTTTCTCTTACTGCAAATCTTGCTCCAAGTTTTGCTTAAAAGAAAACAATAAGAGCCTTATCAAATTGTTTTTTTTCCCCCAACTCTCTTCACAAAGCCAAGGTTGCCAGAATTGTGTGTTATGTCAGCTGAGTTTCAGCCTTGGACTGTCTCTGAAGCAATAAATACTGAACTGAAGTCATGTTGCATGCTCTGCTCCAAAGAGGTGTTATGACAAATCTGCTCGCTTTTTGCTTTTCTCCTTTTTTTTTTAAGGAGGGGAGGAGGGAAAAAATTAAAAAAACCACAACAAACCTACAGCTTTCAGGGGAGAAATCCTCTTTAAGAGTTGCCGCAACTTAACAAAATGCTAAATGCTTTTATTAACTTCTAGAAAAGCTCTGAAGAGCTGCTTTCTTCCCTGGCTGAAAAGCATTTGTTTAAGTGGCCTGGCTTTGTTCCCTTCACGCCGGTACAGGCTGATAATTGTAGAGTAGAAATTCATCTCCAAAGTGTGTGGTGACGAAAGAATAGAAAAATGGGGGGGAAAAACCAAACACCTTGGGGGAAGGTAAAGGAGTTGCTCCGTGTGCTTTGAAGGTAGGAGTGTTTCTTCTCACCCTTCTTTGCCTTCAACCCACGTCATCCCACTCCTCCAGGCGAAAAACAAAATGGGCACCTGCGCTGAGTGCTTGTTTGCTTGGTGGTTTAATTGCAGCAGGAGGAGCATGAAGGGGAAATGTAAGCAGCAGAGCTTTGGCTCTTTGTTGCAGGATGAGGAATACGCTGCATTTCAGTGGTTAAAGCTCCCAGGTCGGGCTCTAAGTGCTGGCTCTGGAGGAAAGGCTGAGCCTTGCCCTGCTTGCAGAGACCCTGGAGCAGCCTGGCAGCTGGCTGCCCGCGATGGGAAACTCCAGGTTTATTCCTGGCATGAGCAGGGAGGTACCACCATCCCTCTGCTGTTCTGTGTCTCCTGGTTAAGGAGGGGGTGATGGTGCTGCCCCGGCCCCAGCAAGGCTTGGGGTTGGCAGAGGTGGTGTCACTCACCCCGCAACACATCCCGGGGGCTTTGCTAGAGAGGAACAGATCTTCCAAAGACGTTATTATCTACTGCACTGGGGTTTTGCTAGCAAAAGTAGGATGCAAAACTCCCCAAGCTGTGCTGAAGCTGGAGGAACAAGGAGA